TCTGGGTAGTCAGATTAAACGCCCGTGTGTAATATGTGCACGTAAAAAATCCACTGGCATTTGAAACTGGAAAAGAGTAGCCTAACGGCGCTGCCAGAGCAAAATTTGAAGTTTAAAATCCATTTAAGTATTTCATGATCCTCGCCGGTGCAACGGAGTTCGTGCACTGCGCTAGAGATTCTTTAGACGCAGGCTTGAGTTAGACGTAGAATGGAGCACTTATGGGTTACACCCGTGTGCCATGATGTTAATCCATCAACTAAACCTAAACTCGAGTGAAGACTGGTCTGTGACAATGTAAGTCTAGCACTATGTTCCCAGTTCGCAAAAAGAAGTGGATGTAGCTCATCGCTTTAACATTACTTGTTACATTTTTGATTCCAGCGACGATTAACTGAAACTCTAGTGGCAGACTGTTTGTGTTGGCACTTCTGTTGAATGAAGGCTTTAAGAAATTTCCTTGAGCGTTCCGTCCTCAAATTCAGCAGCAATAGCAGAGTTCTAATTCCGATTGTACCGATAACAGGTCGCTATTCTCTGTTTATGCCTACGAACTGTTCACTGGCTCCCAAACGACAGTTGCAACGTAATGTTTGTCGTGCATCAGTATGCCACCTAGAAGTGCAGCACCAGTCAGACTATTTGCCTGTTTATTTCCCAACACACCGGCATGACTTGGATAAAGTATCCAAAAGATGCTAAAGACACGGGACCTCTGAAGCGATGCTTGCTACTCTGAACGAGCAAACCTGTCGCCACTTTTCTCCGCATGCTCTGCGAGACAGTTCCTCTACGACATGTGTGCAAAGCTGGCTCTTAAGCCAGAGGAATACTGCAGTGACCGCCTTCATCTCTATTCCTAAACAAAATGCCATTCTGTCATTTCTGACGGCTGCCTAATATTTTAATCCTTATAATTTCAATTCCCTATTCCTTTCTTAATTTTAATCCTTTTTCTTGCCTGACACTGCAAGGCATTTCAGAAGTAGAGTAAAGAAGAAGAAGAAGAAGAAGAAGAAGAAGAAGAAGAAGAAGAAGAAGAAGAAGAAGAAGAAGAAGAAGAAGAAGAAGAAGAAGAAGAAGAAGAAGAAGAAGAAGAAGAAGAAGAAGAAGAAGAAGAAGAAGAAGAAGTAAATTAGTAGTTGTATCAAGACTGGGGCCTTTTTTCAATTTGTTTTTGTTTGCTTTGGACAGCTATCGGCATTCTGTATGAGTTTAGCTGGAGCAGAAATGGGGCAATATGTGATGACCAGCATGTATCGTTACATTTCCATTGTTGTTCGTCACTGTGCCAAGGTATTTGACGGTTGTGTCACATCGTATAATGTTTTTTTGCTTTTTACAGAAAGTTAAACATTTGGTATTATTTTACTGAAAATACCTGATCATGACTCCTGTACTTCACAGGGAGCCAGTACGACAAAGATGGTAACCTGCGGAATTGGTGGACTGAAGAAGATCGCCAGAGCTTTCGCGACAGAGCGCAGTGTATCATTGATCAGAACTCCAACACCAATGTTGTTGAAGTCAATATAACTGTAAGCACAAATACTCCCTCTCACTGCATAAACATCTGTCTCATCTCCCGTGTTGTAATTTCACGTTTATGTTTTTTTCTAGGAGTGTCAGTGTCTGGTGTTGACAGCACACGGTTGGTGAACATTATTTTCATAAACTTTTTGCCTTTCGCAATCAGATTACAAACATGAAGAAAAGAAAACCATCTTCGTTCGAGTGACTGGCGCATTCAAGTGGATGTCACAGTCATAGATGACTTTAATCATTGATACCTCATGCATAGAGCACATAAATGTACTGGGTGGATTTCAGGCGACTTTGTAACAGTCGGGGGCCCTAATAGAACATTACGATTGAACAGGTTTTCAAGGACTTGACATGGAAGATTCTTATCTGAGTAATGTTACATTGCACTTTGTGTCACCGGTTGGTAATCTCTAGGTGTGCACGCATAAAAACATCGGCACTAACCAGCTCAGCGCTACTCTAATTGACACTTTAAAGTGAGTACCGGCACCTTTGTCAGACACTTTAAAGTGAGTACCGGCACCTTTGTCAGACACTTTAAAGTGAGTACCACCACCTGTGTCAGACACTTTAAAGTGAGTACCACCACCTGTGTATGACACTTTAAAGTGAGTACCACCACCTGTGTCAGACACTTTAAAGTGAGTACCACCACCTGTGTCAGACACTTTAAAGTGAGTACCACCACCTGTGTATGACACTTTAAAGTGAGTACCACCACCTGTGTCAGACACTTTAAAGTGAGTACCACCACCTGTGTCAGACACTTTAAAGTGAGTACCACCACCTGTGTATGACACTTTAAAGTGAGTACCACCACCTGTGTCAGACACTTTAAAGTGAGTACCACCACCTGTGTCAGACACTTTAAAGTGAGTACAGCCACCTGTGTCAGACACTTTAAAGTGAGTACCAAGACCTGTGTATGACACTTTGAAGTGAATACCACCACCTGTGTATGCCACTTTAAAGTTAGCACCACCACCTGTGTCAGACACTTTAGAGTGAGTACCACCACCTGTGGCGGCGTCCGTGGCTAAGGCGTTGCGAGTCCGACTCGTAAGCCAGCATACCGCGATCGAAACCCACTGCAGGCTGCGCGGATTGCTGTCGTGGTATGGGGACGTCGCAGGTCGACCCAGCCTAAAATGGGTACCATAATGGCCTGTCCTGGGAAAGTAAAGACAGCCGGCGTAATGCTGACCACATTACCTACAGAGTGCTGATGGTCTGTAAAAATATGGGACGCTCTGCCCATATGCCCGATGCGCCGAAAGGCGTGAAAAGGGAACTTTACTTTTTTTTTACTTACTTTACCACCACCTGTGTCTGACACTTTAGAGTGAGTACCACCACCTGTGTCTAACACTTTAGAGTGAGTACCACCACCTGTGTCAGACACTTTAGAATGAGTACCACCACCTGTGTCAGACACTTTAAAGTGAGTACCACCACCTGTGTCAGACACTTTAAAATGAGTACCACCACCTGTGTCAGACACTTTAGAGTGAGTACCACCACCTGTGTATGACACTTTAAAGTGAGTACCACCACCTGTGTCAGACACTTTAAAGTGAGTACCACCACCTGTGTCAGACACTTTAAAGTGAGTACCACCACCTGTGTATGACACTTTAAAGTGAGTACCACCACCTGTGTCAGACACTTTAAAGTGAGTACCACCACCTGTGTCAGACACTTTAAAGTGAGTACCACCACCTGTGTCAGACACTTTAAAGTGAGTACCACCACTTGTGTCAGACACTTTAAAGTGAGTACCACCACCTGTGTCAGACACTTTAAAGTGAGTACCACCACTTGTGTCAGACACTTTAAAGTGAGTACCACCACCTGTGTCAGACACTTTAAAGTGAGTACCACCACTTGTGTCAGACACTTTAAAGTGAGTACCACCACTTGTGTCAGACACTTTAAAGTGAGTACCACCACTTGTGTCAGACACTTTAAAGTGAGTACCACCACTTGTGTCAGACACTTTAAAGTGAGTACCATCACTTGTGTCAGACACTTTAAAGTGAGTACCACCACTTGTGTCAGACACTTTAAAGTGAGTACCACCACTTGTGTCAGACACTTTAAAGTGAGTACCACCACTTGTGTCAGACACTTTAAAGTGAGTACCACCACTTGTGTCAGACACTTTAAAGTGAGTACCACCACTTGTGTCAGACACTTTAAAGTGAGTACCACCACTTGTGTCAGACACTTTAAAGTGAGTACCACCACCTGTGTCAGACACTTTAAAGTGAGTACCACCACTTGTGTCAGACACTTTAAAGTGAGTACCACCACTTGTGTCAGACACTTTAAAAGTGAGTACCACCACCTGTGTCAGACACTTTAAAGTGAGTACCACCACCTGTGTCAGACACTTTAAAGTGAGTACCACCACTTGTGTCAGACACTTTAAAGTGAGTACCACCACCTGTGTCAGACACTTTAAAGTGAGTACCACCACCTGTGTCAGACACTTTAAAGTGAGTACCACCACCTGTGTATGACACTTTAAAGTGAGTACCACCACCTGTGTCAGACACTTTAAAGTGAGTACCACCACCTGTGTCAGACACTTTAAAGTGAGTACCACCACTTGTGTCAGACACTTTAAAGTGAGTACCACCACCTGTGTCAGACACTTTAAAGTGAGTACCACCACCTGTGTATGACACTTTAAAGTGAGTACCACCACCTGTGTCAGACACTTTAAAGTGAGTACCACCACCTGTGTCAGACACTTTAAAGTGAGTACCACCACCTGTGTATGACACTTTAAAGTGAGTACCACCACCTGTGTCAGACACTTTAAAGTGAGTACCACTACCTGTGTCAGACACTTTAAAGTGAGTACCACCACCTGTGTCAGACACTTTAAAGTGAGTACCACTACCTGTGTCAGACACTTTAAAGTGAGTACCACCACCTGTGTCAGACACTTTAAAGTGAGTACCACTACCTGTGTCAGACACTTTAAAGTGAGTACCACCACCTGTGTCAGACACTTTAAAGTGAGTACCACCACCTGTGTCAGACACTTTAAAGTGAGTACCACCACCTGTGTCAGACACTTTAAAGTGAGTACCACCACTTGTGTATGACACTTTAAAGTAAGTACCACCATCTGTGTCAGACATTTTTTAGTTAGATACTTCAAAGTAAATACCGGCACCTTTGTAAGACTAAAGTGAATCCTGGCGCGGTTGTCAGACACTTTAAAGTTAGTACCTGTACCTTTGGGCTGTCCTGGGAATGTAAAGACAGCCGGCGTAATGCTGACCACATTACCCACAGAGTGCTGATGGTCTGTAAAAATATGGGACGCTCTGCCCATATGCCCGATGCGCCGAAAGGCGTGAAAAGGGAACTTTACTTTTTTTTTACTTACTTTACCACCACCTGTGTCTGACACTTTAGAGTGAGTACCACCACCTGTGTCTAACACTTTAGAGTGAGTACCACCACCTGTGTCAGACACTTTAGAATGAGTACCACCACCTGTGTCAGACACTTTAAAGTGAGTACCACCACCTGTGTCAGACACTTTAAAATGAGTACCACCACCTGTGTCAGACACTTTAGAGTGAGTACCACCACCTGTGTATGACACTTTAAAGTGAGTACCACCACCTGTGTCAGACACTTTAAAGTGAGTACCACCACCTGTGTCAGACACTTTAAAGTGAGTACCACCACCTGTGTATGACACTTTAAAGTGAGTACCACCACCTGTGTCAGACACTTTAAAGTGAGTACCACCACCTGTGTCAGACACTTTAAAGTGAGTACCACCACCTGTGTCAGACACTTTAAAGTGAGTACCACCACTTGTGTCAGACACTTTAAAGTGAGTACCACCACCTGTGTCAGACACTTTAAAGTGAGTACCACCACTTGTGTCAGACACTTTAAAGTGAGTACCACCACCTGTGTCAGACACTTTAAAGTGAGTACCACCACTTGTGTCAGACACTTTAAAGTGAGTACCACCACTTGTGTCAGACACTTTAAAGTGAGTACCACCACTTGTGTCAGACACTTTAAAGTGAGTACCACCACTTGTGTCAGACACTTTAAAGTGAGTACCACCACTTGTGTCAGACACTTTAAAGTGAGTACCACCACTTGTGTCAGACACTTTAAAGTGAGTACCACCACTTGTGTCAGACACTTTAAAGTGAGTACCACCACTTGTGTCAGACACTTTAAAGTGAGTACCACCACTTGTGTCAGACACTTTAAAGTGAGTACCACCACTTGTGTCAGACACTTTAAAGTGAGTACCACCACTTGTGTTAGACACTTTAAAGTGAGTACCACCACCTGTGTCAGACACTTTAAAGTGAGTACCACCACTTGTGTCAGACACTTTAAAGTGAGTACCACCACTTGTGTCAGACACTTTAAAGTGAGTACCACCACCTGTGTCAGACACTTTAAAGTGAGTACCACCACCTGTGTCAGACACTTTAAAGTGAGTACCACCACTTGTGTCAGACACTTTAAAGTGAGTACCACCACCTGTGTCAGACACTTTAAAGTGAGTACCACCACCTGTGTCAGACACTTTAAAGTGAGTACCACCACCTGTGTATGACACTTTAAAGTGAGTACCACCACCTGTGTCAGACACTTTAAAGTGAGTACCACCATCTGTTTCAGACACTTTAAAGTGAGTACCACCACTTGTGTCAGACACTTTAAAGTGAGTACCACCACCTGTGTCAGACACTTTAAAGTGAGTACCACCACCTGTGTATGACACTTTAAAGTGAGTACCACCACCTGTGTCAGACACTTTAAAGTGAGTACCACCACCTGTGTCAGACACTTTAAAGTGAGTACCACCACCTGTGTATGACACTTTAAAGTGAGTACCACCACCTGTGTCAGACACTTTAAAGTGAGTACCACTACCTGTGTCAGACACTTTAAAGTGAGTACCACCACCTGTGTCAGACACTTTAAAGTGAGTACCACTACCTGTGTCAGACACTTTAAAGTGAGTACCACCACCTGTGTCAGACACTTTAAAGTGAGTACCACTACCTGTGTCAGACACTTTAAAGTGAGTACCACCACCTGTGTCAGACACTTTAAAGTGAGTACCACCACCTGTGTCAGACACTTTAAAGTGAGTACCACCACCTGTGTCAGACACTTTAAAGTGAGTACCACCACTTGTGTATGACACTTTAAAGTAAGTACCACCATCTGTGTCAGACATTTTTTAGTTAGATACTTCAAAGTAAATACCGGCACCTTTGTAAGACTAAAGTGAATCCTGGCGCGGTTGTCAGACACTTTAAAGTTAGTACCTGTACCTTTGGGCTGTCCTGGGAATGTAAAGACAGCCGGCGTAATGCTGACCACATTACCCACAGAGTGCTGATGGTCTGTAAAAATATGGGACGCTCTGCCCATATGCCCGATGCGCCGAAAGGCGTGAAAAGGAATCTTTACTTTTCTTTACTTACCTGTACCTTTGTCAGACAGTTTTTAGTGAGTACTGGCACTTTTGTCAGACAGTTTTTAGTGAATACTGGCTCCTTTGTCAGACAGTTTATAGTGAGTCATCATCATCTCGCAGGTCCTTTGCAGAACGTCGCTCTCAGCACGGTCTGCGTGAAAGAAACTCTGTCTTTCGTCAGCTCTCCCTTCTCATGAACCTTAATACTCAAGAAGTCACTTATATCCTGTGCGCATCTTCGTGTCGGTTGGCCCCTGTCTCTTTTTTAATCCGTCGTTGCGCTTGATATGACCAAAATATTTCAGCTTTCGAGACAGGATACCTTTTATAAGCCAATCTTCCTTGATGTTCAGATCTTTTAACATGTCAATATTTCTCATCTTCTTTGACCAAGATATACCGAGAATCTTTCTATAGCATTTCAGCTCAAAAGCCCCTAATCTCTTTTTCTAGCACTGAGAGATAGTCCACGACTCACATCCGTATGTAGCCACAGGGAAGATGCAGGCACTCAAAATTCTTATTCTGATCTCATTGCTGATGCTTAACCAAAGACTGTTATTGCTGTTTAATCTTTGCATTGCTATAGCCATCCTACTTTTAATTTCTGTCAAACGGTCTTAATTGCTATTTCTAGATAATCAAAGTTTGTAACCTTTTCAATTTCTTCACTATTTATTGTTATTTTTGGGTGATAGCCAGTTTTATATTTTTTTTTCTTTCCTTTAAATTCAAGAACAGATTCTGATCTTCAATGTGCGTTTGGACAGATAATATTACATTTTCTCTTCCCTTTGCGCTGTTCGAAATGAGGACTGTCATCTGCAGAGCGAAGTTCCGAAATTGGCTTGCCACCAATTTTGAGTGGATCATAACTGTCACAAGTCTGTTCATTTTTGACATTTCTTATTATGTTTTCTGCTTTTATGTTAAATAGGTATGGTGAGAGAATGCACCCCTGCCTCACCCCCTTTTGCACCTCGAACGAATTCCCTGTTTCACCAGCTGCTCTGATAGCTGCTTGTTGTTCCTGATAAAGATTTTCAATAAAATGCACTAAATTCTCATAATAGTCCACAGTTTATAGTGAATACCGGCACCTTTGTCAGGCAGTTTAAAGTGGGTACCGGCACCTTTGAAGACAGTTTATAGTGAGTACCGGCACCTTTCTCAGACAGTTTATAGTGGGTACCGGCACCTTTCTCAGACAGTTCATAATGGGTACCGGCACCTTTGTCAGACAGTTTAGTGTAAACACCAGAACATTGTATTTCTAGAAAGAAAACAACACCGTGCCCAGCTAGTGTGTTCTAAAGTTCTAAATCTATTCTTGAGTCCACAAGACAAGCTCCAACATTTGTTGGCTAATGTGGGGTTGTGTCGGCGTCGTTGGTAGGGGTTATGTGTATTTTCATAATTCCAACACACAAGCACGAAAGTTACAGGTGGTTTTACAGCAGATAGGAGACTTGTACAAAGGCTAACCTCAGTAAAACTGACTGTATGAAATTAGAATCCGGAGGAACGCCACCAGCTTAATAATCTGAGACATAGTTGGAAATGATAAGCTGTGAGAACAAACAGTGAAACAAATACTTTGAGTAACAGAAAATCAGATTGTTTTGTAAGAAGTTAGTAAGAATGCAGACAGAACAACAAGCAACGCAGGCGCCACATGTGAAAAGATATGGTGAGTAAAACAAGAGATCACCTTAGCATAACGTGGACTGATGACATTAAATAACGTCTACACCGACACACAATGACAGTACCATTGCTGCCCATCAAGCAGTGAATCGCAAATTGTTCCTTCACACCATGCTGAACCAGTAGAATAGCAATACATGATGATGATCATCATAATTACCTTGTTTGCGTTGACAGCGTCCAGAAGAAAAAAGCTTCAAGCTACTTTTGACTATGCACCAGGATTGCTCCTGACAGCATTACTTAAGTAGAGTAACTTAAGCGAGGATGTTGCATGGGAAGACTGGCAGTGTCCAGTATGTCTGTTTTATCTATGTATATATATATAAATTTGATGTCTGTGTTCTGTGTGTGTCATAATAACTCGACATAAGCATTGCGAAAAACACACCACTATTAGAGAGACTTAAATATCGTAATCTTTAGAAAAACGTGAAAAAAAATATGAGTAAAAATTTTGTCTCTTTTACAGCTGAACGGAGTGAACACACAAGGTGAAACGATAGCAGACAGAGGTGGTCTCAAAGAGTCCTTCAGGTAAGATGTATACCCAACACTTGTACAGTAATGCTTTCCGTCACTAGCTTGATTTTCTCTGAACTTCCTCTGGTGGTCTATAGACACGACCGTCACATAAAGGGCATTCTAATCAAGAATCGGTTACGTCCCGTCTCTGAGTCCCATTTAGGCACGGTCTCTTGCCATAGATCTATCTGTTAAACTTGCCCATATGTTGTTCAGCCTGATGGTCTGGCATTCCCTAACACCACTTTCTACATTCGCAAGAGATATATTGCACGACTGGCAAATAATTTGGGCCATCATTTGCAAACGATATGTAAAAAAGTAAATAGGTAAAACGGGTTTAGACGAGCTGACAGATTCAGACAGCATGTTTCCGTTGTGCAGGATTGTGGACTCAAACCAATGCCGTTGCATTTGTGTGTTCAGCATGGAGGTTATAACCATCAAGTTTCTCTTTTCTCCTGAGAATCTGATATCTCTTCTTTAGCAGCTTTACCTATCTAATGGGATCTCACTCACCTAAGGTCCTTAAATTACAACACAGCTTTATCTACTAATTTTTTAATTACAACCTTACTTGCTACCCGACATTCTGGCTAACATCCTTTAATGTGCTTTAGCTGGCCAGACATATGTATATTTCTTAGACAGGCCTCAGTTAACGGTTTCGTATATTCTTATTTGTAAATGCAACATTGTCTATTCATGGCATGTTCTTATGAAGTCGTTCTAGCTGTAAACTTTACTTATCGTTTATGACTTAATAATGTAAAACTATAGAGCTCTACTTCTCGTTTCGGTTGATATCTGTTCACAGTTAGGGACTACTAAGGTCTATGTGTCTCTGGTCTATCGCACACATATTTCTTATAACAAATAATAGTCTTGTCTTTCATACAAACTCTCACATATATGTTTTTATATCTCTCGCGTAAACAGATTCTTATCTCTCATACCCATACACATTTCGTAATTGTAACAGACTCTGAAAGCATGCTGAAAAGGTGAAGACAGGGATGCTTCTAGCAGAGCGGCCAGCTTCACTGAAAAGGTCACGGGTGGTGAGCATACTTTGGATCTTTTCTCGAGGCTATGCCGGCGTTTTGGGTAATGAACAGGCAGACATATTGACTGGATCCACACCACTGGGTGGGGAATTGATATACGACAAGGCAGATGTGGAACACGCAACGGAATCAGTAGAGAAAGAAGATTATTATGACCTGGAGAGAATGAGACACCTGGGTGTAACCAGAGGGTTTTACCGGCTGACTACGCTCAGAGGTAAGGCAAGACGGACATTTAACCAGATTGTGACCGGTACCATCAGTATTGAAACTCGGCGGTTCCTGCTGCAGATGAGGACAGAGCATGCATGGCAATGTCAAGCGTGCTGTGATGTCAATTTTTGACTCCACTCCACTCAACTATCTCTCAGACACAGGTGTCTTATCTGTAAGACATCTATATCTTTCATCTAACAATCGTAAACTTGAAGACGGTTAATCAAAGTAATGAATTATTCCCCTTGAGAGTAAAAATTAGCCCGCTAAGGACCTTCTTTCAGGTTTATTTCAGGGCATATGGTGCTACACGTATATTAAATAGTTCAAACGCCAATGGGTGGCTGATGTGGTAAACATTACGCCAGCAAAATGGTCACGTATTACGACAGTAATTTCTGTTCGATGTCTATGATAGTGCTCATATCCCATAGATGCTTTGCGGTGACTAAAGCAATAGCATGCATGGATACACATACTTTCACACACGAAGCCTTTCTCAGTGACTCAGTATGCCCAGGAAGAGAGAGATTAGGTTCGAAGACAGTAGCTGGAGTTTCTGAGGCGGTCGACGCCGGAAAAATCAGTTTTCCTGTAATGGCCCGCAGGTGTGCAAGGAAATAAACATGCTGATAGACTGGAAGTTAAGGCTGCTGTAGAGGGCGGACAAGCCATGGACCTTGCTAATATACTGAATGCTCTACGAGAAGTGACACGTTTACGAGAATCAAGGGATGACTGGTAATCTGCAAGAATGACCAGACTGCAAGAACAGCGTGTTAAAAAGGATTTGACCAGACAAGAACACCATGCAGGAAGCCACAGAAGAATAAGAGATCAACACATAACTTGTGTCGTCAGGCGCTGCATGCTGCGGAAACTACTGAGGAGGTGGTCCGCGCACTTATGGGCTGAATGGACTAATGTACAATAATGAAAATAATTAAAGTATCTAACAAACTTGTTTTCTTAAAAGGGCTTATCAGAGAAAAGTGAAAAGATGTGGTACAGAGCTCCTTCTACCTGGCTTACATCTCACACAAGATCAACTTTTCTTTCTTGCGTTTGGCCAGGTAAATGTTATCTTTCGATATTTAAAAGCATTCTTCTAATTTTTGTCTTTATTTCGCAAAGTTTAATTTTGAAACAATAACGGAATTGTTTCGATGTATCGAATATATAATACTTGCAAGGGATGGTCATGTCAAGCCCATTTATCAGAATATTTCGCAGGCATAGTTAATAATACATAAAACTTAAGAAAAGTCTGTTTCGGGAATGTAACTATAAAAGAATGTATCTACACACGTAAAAATCACACTCCCCATTTCAGGTCATTCTCAAATAACATTCGTTGTTCGTTTATGCTTAGTCTACTGCGTACAGCTGAGAGGATGTGCGCCTTAGCTTTCTCTAGAGAAGGCATTGACAGCAGTAAGGGAGCCAGACCATAGGGTCCACACAGAACAACAGAAAGAGTGGGGGGGGGGGTGATAATGGGGTCTAAGCAGTACAGGAACAAGGGTGGGATATCATTGGGTCCACACAGTACAACAGTAAGAGTGGAGAATCATGAGGTTAAAGCATAGGGCGCTAAGCAGCGCTGGTTACTGCTGCTACCAATACTGCTACTACTACTACCACCACCACTACTACTACTACAACTACTACCACTACTACTACCACTACTACTACCACTACTATTACTACAATTACCACCACCACTACTACTACTACTACTACTACCACCTCCACTACTACCACTATTGCTACTATCACTACTACTACCACCACCACCACCACTACTACTACTAATACTGATACTACTGCTGCTGCTGATTTTATGAGTCCCGCTCCCCTCCTTCATCCCATGTTTTTACTGCTTTGGTGCCAATGTAGGCAATAAATTATGTAGGCACACCTACGTCCCAAAGACGTGAGTTAAAACCATATTATAAGATTCAACACAAAGCTGGGATGTCCATCTAGGATGAGACGGTTGAAGTCTAAGGGCTGTTCAAACCTCCAGGAAGCAGCCCGCAAGTTACAAACGAATACCTCACCGTCACGTAGTTGTGATAGAATAGTAATTCTGCGGATGTTGACGAAGGGAAAGTTGGTCCATTGTTCCTTTACAACCATGTCGTTAAAAAAAAAAAAACGACTGAATAAAAGCTTTGCTGATACCGAATGTGTGAGTGGTCGCAAACTATCGGATAGGACCTTGCTTGAAGGCCATAATGTTACGCAAGAAGGCCCAAATGTTGGAGGTTAAAATGCGCAGTCTGAATCGTCTTGGCTCTCATGTCGGCACAGCTAAAATGAGATCGGGTAAGTCATAAAGATCAGAGGTTAACGTCGAGAGGAACGACCTCATGGCACTAGGTTTTATCCTATATGGCTCAGTCTCTCTCTCTCTCTCTCTCTCTCTCTCTCTCTCTCTCTCTCTCTCTGCGGAACCGCTAGCCGTCTGCCGAGAGCGCCGCACAGAGCACGAACTCCCAAGCCCCTAGGGATCTCCATAAAAACTTCACTACTGAACAGGTATATTGGACATTTAGAACTTGACCTATATTTTATAGACCAATCGGAGCTTGGTGGGTGATGGGGTCAGCATTACGCTAGTCGCATTTACTTCCTAGGACCTCACCTTTTACCTATTTAAGCTAGCTCAACCTAGGAGCCAATAATTTTTAAGAAACAATTCCAGCTCAGTCAGAAGCTGAGCCCACGACCTTCCGATCAGCAGGCGATTAACCTCTACACCGCCCAGGCCTTCACGTCAGTATAAATACCAGAGTTCTTAATGCTCTTCAATAATCATCTGCTTTCCGTTCTTTCTAGGACATTTTTCGTTTTTTGAAGCCCTACTCTGGCTCTTGCCAGGGGCCGCAATATAACATGACCATAAATATGGCCTAAAGGCTGAACGCGGTTTCTGGGACCTCTCCACTGTGATCCTCACCCACATGGTAGCACATTGTGTCAATGGGTGTTTATCGCTTGTGTGATGTCCTGGTGGGGTAGAATGTCAGTCAGTCAGTCATGCTCTTCAAAGAACGAACGCAGAGAAAGAAGAAGATGAAACAGAAGAAGAATAGAAAGGGGAAGGAGGGGAAGGAAAATAAGAAGAAACTTGTCCTTATCGTTTCAAACTTGATATTTAAATATCAATTTTGATGTAACCCCAGTGTGGGTTCCAGGACCCATTGTGGGGGAAACAAGAATAGACCCACTGCCTCCCCAAAAGCATGTTGTAAGAGTCGACTAATTGGGGAGCTTCCTTTGAAGTCGGAGTGCATCTGCCGGAGAGGCAAGGAACCAACAATCTGTATTCAAGAGAATGAGATCTGTAAAACTGATGCACATGCAGCACTCATGTTCTGGAGCAGGACTGCAGTTCAGTAGTGGACGAGCAACCAGAACTTTCCGCCACAGTGTACAGCTGGTGAACGCGAAGAAGAAGAAGAATTTGATGTCTCATTTAAAACTTAACATGCCTTTTTGAAACAGTCGATTATATAAAACGTTTTGTGTACTGATGCTTTGGGCAGTTATTTTGTGAGAAGTGGAAGCCACCGATACTGAAGATGTTGCTGGCCTCAGGATCTCATCTACCAGCGAGATATAGGTCAGTAGTGTCCAAACTCTCTTTATGCAACTACCATTCTGTCTGCTGTTTAAACCTTTGGAGACAACTGGGCCGATCTATCGGTCCAACATCAGTATAGCCGAAAAGACGCCCCGGTAAAATAAACTTTAAAATTGGCTAGCTGGACTTCATACCAGACTATCATTTAGCGCCTTTCATGACAGTTTATTGCATTATGTAATTTTGACCACAAAAATGTTATAATTCCAACTGTGTCGCAAACGAATCAATTCCTTTGCCAGCGAGAACCATACCAAATGCCAGCCACTACATTCTGTTAAAAGTCAAAGAGACAGCAGTCACGGCAAAATGTCGCAGCTCACACATGAACCAAGAGCTAAAGGCAGAGCCACTAACACCTACAGTATGTCACTAGAATAGTTAATGGAAGCAGCAGTCACGACAAACCAGCAGTTGCACACTGATTACTACATATGACACACCATCACTTCTGTGGCAACCAGCAATTGGCCATGTTTTGAGAAAAGCAGTGCAAATGGGAGCACAGACAATTGCTCATGAAAAAATCACAACTGATAGGGTGGCCCCATTGAGTCAACTCGGGAGTTAGCCCTCGGAAACTCAGTTTTCCACTTGATTATTTGGAGGAAAGGGTCTATCGTGTAAGCTAGATAGTCTTAGAGATATTTGCGGACTTGTATAGCGTCGCTGCTTCACTGGGGCCCTAGAAAGCTGCAACGACACAGATGGGGAACAAAAAGGGGGCACAAAAAGGAATTATCTCTAGTTTACGTGTTATACAAGAGAGATCACAAGTGCCTTAACATTTATGAGCAACACCCCAGCACCACCCTTCCCCAGCTAAACACGACCAAGCTGCCTATCCTATCCTAGACCTTCCGAACTCTAACTTACATTAAGCACACCTCTGGATCATTCCACACACCACCCCCCCCCCCCCACAACCCCTCCCCAGCTAAGTTCATTACAACTACCACTATCGTTTCCCTCCCCCCCCCCTCCCCCCCCCCATGTTGCATTCTTGACAACTACAGACCACTAGATTCACAATTTTGGAGGAAAAAAAGAAAGAAATGTAAGTAATAAATATAAGTAATATAAAGAGGTGCTGTTTGGTCATCACAGTAAACCTACTGACACGGGTCATACTTCTTCTTACTCGCACACAACTGCATGTTGCCCCGGTCAAGTGCAGCCGTTGCCGGTGCAGCAGTTATAACATTTATTCTTTAAAACTGTTGAGTAACTTAAATTATAACATGCAATTACGATGAAAAAGTATTATATATATATATATATATATATATATATATATATATATATATATATATATATATATATATATATATATATATATATATACATGTGACAAAAATTGAATTGTTTAAACATGCATTACTCAAATAAAACACTCAAATGAGAAACATAATTTACTTCATACGGTAATTAATTATTGGTCACACGAGATCAAATAATTCTCTTTCCAAAACGCATCTACAATTTTATAAAACAGCTAATAAAAGCGTGGGGACGTTAGCCTTGGAATTAAATAGTAAATTGTTGTTTACAGAATAACTAGATTATATAGTTAATGACTTGTACTTGTGACAGTTCAGTCAAGCATTTTACAGTGTGATTACTGTGCCGAAACTTAATCACAACTTTTACAATGTCATCAAAGATGTGTAGATAGTTTATTGTCGGCGTCTTTGGCATAGTATATATATATATTTATATGTAAAGGCAGAAAGTCTGACCCTTTTCAAATAACATCTGATTTAAAGCAGAGTGATGCTTTGTCCCCACTTTTTTTTCAACTTGGCCCTGAAGAAAATTATAAGGAAATTGAAACAAGAGGGTACTGTAGGAGAATCCACAAGAATACTAGGTTATGCAGCTGACATTGATATTGTTGGAGAAAATTAACTAGAGACTGTTTAAAAACTGATTCTCTTAAAAGAATCAGCTCAGAAAATGGGGCTAGTTATCAATAAAGATAAGACAGAATACACGATAATAAATAGACAGGAAAAGATTATAAACTCTGGCCACAAACAAGTCGATAACATGAATATCAAACGAACGGAAACATATCAGTACTTGGATGCAAACTCAGCTTCACTAACCTGCTGAGAGAAATACAATCTAGAAAACAATCAAAAAATAAAGTAAACTATGCCTTTCAACATCTGCTAAAGTAAAAGTGTCTGTCTCGCAAAACTAAGATCAAAATATATACAACGTTGATAAGACCAGCCTTATTACAAGTTTTCGAAAAGCAACAACGAAATTCATAATCTGTTTAAATTACCATTGATCACTGGCATTATAAAAGCTAACAGACTGAAATCGTTGGGGCATATTGAAAGAATGTCAGATGACTTTGAAGAAAAAAAAAAAAAACTGTATACACAAGAGAGATAAATGGTCGTAGACCACGAGGCAGACCAATAAGATATGGAGAGATTTTGCCCAGACAGACTTGCTAACACTTGGTGTCACCAACTGGAAATAGACGAGCAACCAGAGATATAAATGGAGGCGGGTAATATCTGCAGCAATGAACCTTGAGGGCTCGAAATGCTGAACAAGAAGAAATATGTGGCTTAAGCGTCGCAAACCGCTTCGTAATGCCTAGTTAACGGGTTCTATCCCAGCTGCGGGCCAGCATGTAGCAGAACCAACGTCTTGCTTTGGTTAAGACAGTGGTACCGAGAGCTGACCGTTTAGTAGCAATGTCAAACTATTGAACGTAAAATCCACCACACACACAAATGCTGCGGTTGGTTCTACAGCGCCCTGAAAATGATACACCACCAGCTAGTTACATAACTTGAGAATAATAATTTAAAAAAAAAAAAAAACTAATTTTAGCTCCTATATCGACACAGCCTGGTACGAGGTGAATTGCAGGGAAGTAACGCGTGCATGTGATTTAACCCCAGCAGGACAATACAACGAGCTACCAACACCCGGTAACACAAAGTGCAACAATTAATATGAGGTTCAATCGGGCACGTCTCAGGAACCCTGTTAAACCGTTAGGTTATATTAGAGCCCGCGATTACAGCCGGAATGAAGTAAGGGAAACAAGTCTGATGTAGACTACATCACCGACCGAGTTCCGATTGGTCTATACAACATAACTTTAGCTCTATATGCCAAAAAACCCTAAAGGCATCGAAAGGAGTTCCTTAACTTTCTTTTACCTTATTTTACAGAATTAACGGAGCTTTGCAAAATTCAGAGGAGTTTGCCAAGGCCTACAACTGCCCCCTGGGATCCTTCATGAACCCGCAGAAGAAGTGTTCTGTCTGGTAGTTGTCGCTCCTGGATGACAAACCATATTTATTCCCTGACAAGTTGCTGAACAGAACGAAACCACTACTGATTCACGGTGTTCCATGCACACACATGAGATTGTTGACTAGAGATACTTTTATGAGAGTAATTCAGCTAACGTTCTTTACAACAACACACATTTTAATTAGCAATCCAGGAAACGAAAAGAACCGGGTAGTTATTGACGGTAACTGGCTCAATAAAATTAATGCAGGGCCGAAGATCAAAGCATTTCAAGCAACATCACAGAAAAATCACATTAGAATCTTATGCAACATTTTGGTAACGAAAGCACTGTGTTATTTCCATCCTTGGTGTCTAAATCGTTCTTAGAATAAATGTTTACAACCAACAGTCATCGTGATAGTTTTGTTTCAGTTAATAACTTCTTCTCTTTTCAAAAAATGCATCTTGCACTAGAAAACAAATCATATTTAATATACTTTTGTTTTTGTGTGTTTGTGTGATAACCTCAGTTGAACACAACAGGGTTCACAGGGTCAGCAGGATACATTAATTAGGGTGTCTGTAACAGCAATAATGTTTTTTTCGGTTAATGTCTTGATCTGTTCCTAAACAGGCGGTTCTACCACACAGTCGGCGTCTGTTGCTTCAACGTTGCGAACGCAATTCGTAATGCCGGGATGCCGGATTGGATCCCAGCTACAGACGATTTGACTTGCATTGGTTTCCACGGTGATACCAAAAACTGACTGTTTAGTAAGCAAAAGCAAACTACTAAACGTAACATTTGCCTAGAAAAACAGCAACAGCCATACATTGCTGGGGTTGGTTCTGCAACACACATTGAAGGATACACAACTAACTTCTGACACCCCACCAAAAGGACAGTGAGTAAAATAATGTTGCACACACAAGGGATACATAGAAATCCAGGCGATTAGTTTGCAAGTGTAATTGATTCCACAGTCGGTGTTTGTAATAAAAAAAAAAAAAGATCAGTTCGAATGAGATACTTGAGAAAAGTCGCCAACCTCACAATGGAAGGTGAAGTGAATAATGATACTACCAGACAAGTTGTGGAAACGACACCTTGTACTAGATTCATCGAGAAAGAGCAGTTCGGGTTATTTGGTCAAAAAAGTTAGAAATGCAGCGAGATTAAATACCATCACAGGCACTATATCTAAGAAGATCGGCTACAAAAAGAAGAGGACGGACACGAAAAATGGATCGACAACATTAAAGATACTTAACGCCTTAACGCCATGACAATAGCCAGTCCAGTCAGCGGGCACTGAATCGCAGATTATTTCTCCCCACGGGGCCTTACAACAGAAGTAGTTATCGATGATGATGAGATAGGAAACTTTTTAACCTATAACATGGTGCAGTGAAATGTGAGGGTCTTTTTAATACCAGTGACGCATCAGGCACACTACTGGACATTTTTATGTATAGACCATTAGACACTCGATTGCAGATATGGTCAGCATCCCGTCAAATGCTGTTAATTCTTAGGAATTTGCCTGGTATCCCATTGTGTTAAGGTCTTCATGGTAGTCAAGTCCATTTTGGAGAGGGAAAGAATCCTACTCAATGCGATCTCGAACCCAAGAACTTCTTGAAGTCTGATAAGCGTCAGTCCACTACGCCATCTCGAATTCCTGCAATGAAAGTTGATGGCTGATATAAGTTAGTTAGTTAATAAGTTAGCTAGTGAGTTAGTAAGTTTGTTACTACTTTTTTAGTTAGTTGGTCGGTTAGTTGGTTAGTAAGTTCGTTAGTTAGTTATTTGGTCGGTGAGTTAGTTGTTTAGTTAGTTACTTAGTTACTTAGTTAGTTAGATATTTGGTCGGTTAGTTAGTTAGTTAGTTAGTTAGTTAGTTAGTTAGTTTGTAAGTTAGTCAGTTGGGTAGTTAGTTAGTTGGTTTCTTTCGTAGTTAGTTATTTAGCTAGTTTGCTAGTTAGTCAGTTGGTTAGGTAGTTAGTTAGCTACTTAGTTAGTTAGTTACTTTGTTACTTAGTAAGTTGGTTAGTTAGTTGGTTGTTTGGTTAGATAGTTACAGCTAGCTATTTAATTGTTAGTTAGTTGGTTGGTTAGTTAGTTAGTTACTTAGATAAAACAATGAATTTTGATGAAGTGGCCAACAAAAGAATTATGTTACTAATAAATGTAGGACAGATAAATGACTCGGAATCATGCAGATTTCCAAGGTCAACGGTCAAATTTCGACTACAACCAGCGTCAGGAACGCAGCGAAAAAAAAATCGATCGTCGAAAAATAAATCAGTCAATTAAATAGCAAACAATCAGGTAGCAGGTGATAACGATATTACCACAGAAATGCTCAAGGCAGCAGATGATTCAACTATAAACCGAGCCTAAGATTCATGGAATAAAATCTAGGCACAGGAGAATATTCTTCATTAGTGAAAGAATCATTTCTAAAGGTTATCTCACTGGCGGTAACGACGCTGTCAAAGGCTAACCTACTTAAACCTAACACATGTGAAATAGAATGCCTGAAAAAACCCGCCAACTAAACTACCTGAGACAAGTTAGAAATGATATTATCACAAAGGCGGTAGAAACAACACTATTCAGCAAATTCATCCAGAAATAGAATAAATAGTTTGGTCGCAGACAAAACAACTACCAACACAGGCGCTAATTGCGGTTAAAATGGACGCTAGGCAGCGGCACTGTTCGAAGCAGAGGCACATTTTTTGCTTCTGCCGGACGGTGGCCGATGCATGTTTGCTCCATTTGTAGACTGGATATTGTTTCGTCGCCCAGCTTCTGAGTTGAATGCATGGCGTGACACTGTGAGCTGCGGATTGCATTTGGAATGTTTTTTAGACTGTGACCAACGTGGTGGTGTGAACTGTAGATTCAGAAAATGGCGCGATGCCTGTCGTGCAATGTTGGCGGTGCCCGTATGTTACTAAAATTGATCGCGTGGGCAACTGCTAATCTGTTGTGGAGAAGTTCTGCTATCATCAAAGATAAACTGCATTTCTAATGTCAGACTGTTTGTGTTAGCACTTCGGATGGCTACCGTATGCTTTAATGCGAGTGTATGCTAGATATGCTGAGACAGCAGTCTGTCAGTCTTTTCACAAGGGACTGTGATAAACATTCTGTGTGTTTTTCGTTGGCACAGGAGCGGAGCAAAGATGGGGGTGACCCGTTCGCTATGAAGCTGAAACTAAGACTACCAGACTACCAGACATAGGAACATATGTGAAATGAAAACAAGAGGCCCCTGTCGAAGAACAAGGATTGATGACATAAAAGAGCATCTATATCGACATAGAATAATGTCCATCAAGCAATGGATGGCAAACTGTTGCTCCACACAGAAGTAGAAATTGATGAAAATGATGACGATGAGAGCAACTACAAAGGCATTTCTCTGTTATCAGTAATGTCCCAGACTTTTTTAGTGTCAACAAATTTCTTGGTAGATTCACAATTATTTTAAACATGTAAGGAACACAATCATGAGAGATGAGCAACCTGGTTTTCGACCTGGAACAACTTCCTCTTCTGCCTTTTGACCTCCAGTGGAGCATACGCCCCCACCAAATCAAGCCAAGTCCGTCTACCCTTCTCTGTCGCATGCAGCTTCCCTAACGTCACTCTCTAGCTAACTTCTCAGTGTGTATTTTGTGCTTACTTTACTTCTATGTCCTTGTGGATTCCAGAGTAAAGACATTCTAGTTGTATTGTTTTCAGGTTTTCTCAACGTGTCTCATACCTAACACCAGAACCTTATTTTCACCTCTTGGTTCACTAGAACTTGTTTACTTCTCGCCTAAAGCTCTACATTAGTGACTCTATCATACCTTGTAATTGCCTTTATTCTTCGCAGGTACCAGTTAATGAATTTGTGTAGATTATTTGTAATCGCTTTAGTTGTTCTCCGTGTTTGCGCTCCTTACAACAGTACCGATTTGACATTCGAATTAAACAAATTTAAGTTAAGTAATACTTTTAATTTATCTCCACAAACTACCTTCTGCCATAAAAGCTCTTCTTGCCTTTTGTATTTGTGTTTTAATATCTCTATCGATTCCCCGATCTTGATCTACCTTTGTCTACATTACTGCCAAAAACAGGTGTAACACTCAGAGTACTGAAGCAGGATACCATTAAGAGAAACCACATTACTGTTTGCCTGATTTATGCACATAGATTTTAGGACTAACTACAGTAAACTCGGATTATGTATATTGAGTATATAGTACTGTAAGTGGGGCAGAAGAACGATATCAGCAGCGAAGTCCAGATCATCCAGCTTTTTTGTAGGAGTCCACTGAATTCTGTTCCTGGTGTAAGCAATTACTGTCTTCCTAATCCAGTCCATTGATGTCAAAATAGGAGAGGCGACAAAAGACATGTCTGTCGCATATATGTTTTTTGTGTGTGGGTAAATCTATATGTTAGCTCTTCTTCCAGAAGAACTCAATATGTAACATTACGTGGAGCTACAGCGATCAAAAAGCTAACCTTTATCTCGGACTTCATCTTCTTTAATGAGACATCTGATAGCAAACTCGGAATGTTACGGTATACCAATGAAATCTAACATGATAGACGAAAAGATAGCAAGGGTAATGTGAAGTATAAACGATACATCATGATCGAAACTATGATGATGATGATGATGATACTGCTATTGGCTTTCCGCCAGTTTACAGCCGGTGAACGCGAGAAAGAAGACGTTTAAATGCCTAATAATAGTGTATAATAATAAATATTATTTGCTAAATAATGCATATACATTTATAAACAAAATCTTTTTTTAAAAATGACAACCTCTAAACATGATGGGGGTGTAGGAGCTTATCTGCCTTACACACTTTCTCTTATGGTATAGGGCCTCAAGATGACTCTCAGTTGTATTTATCATCGAGTAGCTGATCACCGTCCAGCTTGCTGATGGGGCGAGAGACAAAGAGCATTGGAGATTCATTGAAATCAAACCCTCGGTGTGGCGACAGCACCTGAT